GTTTTACTTGTTTTTTTTTGGTATTTTTAGTCAAATAGCATTAAATTTTTGCTAATTTATGTTACACTTTGGCTATTGGTGTGGACTTTGCTTATTTGCACTCAAAAAGGCCATTAGTTATTTGAAAATGTAAAATTGTCTTTATATTGTAGAGGGATAACTCGTTTGTAGTTCATAGGTTGCTAAGATTGCCAAACTAATTATTCAAGTTATTGAATAATTGCTTCCTATATTAGGATTATGACTATGATGAGATACTATCCGCGATAGCGTAACTTAAAAAACACGATATATAAATAATGTGCGCGTGCCCTTCTGTCAATGCATGCATTTTGTCATTTCATACTTACGCTTACAAATATTAATCATTCACTTATAATTATGACTACCTCAGTTGCCGCATTTCACTGTAGGAGTGTATAAATATTTTTACATAGATTAAGACAAGATCATTAATCTCAACTAATTTTCGTTTTTCATTATTCTCCTCTCTTTCACTTAGTATCCTTCTTAATGAAGAGGGACATATCCAGCTTACTGACTTTGGTTTGTCTAAAGAGGCTATCTACGAAAGTAATGAGGATCGCGCCTTCTCTTTCTGTGGCACTCTCGAGTATATGGCTCCTGAAGTAGTTAATCGACGTGGGCATGGGACGACTGCTGACTGGTGGAGCTACGGCGTACTTATGTACGAAATGCTGACGGGCTCTTTGCCCTTTCAAGGAAAAACGAAACGAGAAACGATGAACCAAATTCTCAAGTAGGTCTTATTTGAGGCCAGTCTAGGAAACTCTAGCTCGCCTTAGGAAGCCACTCAATATGTGAATATGTTTTTTTAGCTACCTCTAAATTTCTCCTAAAAAGTTTTTATTTTGTGTGCCATTGTAATAGAGTTTCTCTTCCACTATATTTAATCTGCATTTTTGCAATTCTATGCTATATTTAAAGATTTCAAAAGAATATGTAAGCTTTGTGATTGAAAACCTTTTCGAGGTTTCATCTTCAAAAGTTACAATATATCGTCTTAACGATTATTCTCTTACGCATGTTAAGTAACAGCTTCATTGGCTAATTTTTATTTTAAGCATATAATTAATTATAATTCGATGAATGAAGGATTGGATTTACCTGCCGATTACGTCAAGAATGGACAGGAATATTTAGGTTAAAGTAATGCAGTGTGGTTCTCTTTCCTCTTTGAGTCTATGTATTTCTTTTTTGAAGGTTCTAATGGCTCTTTTATATATTGCCATTTATCTCGATTTTGCGTCAATCTGGTAGCGAGAGTAGGGATTCTAGATCTGGCCCTTGTTCGATCTTGGCTGATCGCCCATTCCGGTTCCCCCACAAGATACAAATGTGCATCCTTAATGGACAGGTTTGCTCCGACTTCATGGACATAAAAAATCAAACTATTTTTTCACAGATTTACATTTATTATGATATACTCAGTTTTAGATGGCTCGGGTTAACCAATTGAATATTCATACTTTCGCAACTTAAATTAGTAAAGGTTGTTTGACCTTGTTTTCGCAACATGGTTATATTGGTAGGAAGACTCATTGGAATGCACCTAGTCCGGGGTCCATTGTCTGCATGATCATTTGCAAAGTTGAACCGTGGACGTGGAACATTCCCAAACGTTTCGTCGGCATCGTCAGTGAGTATCGCCATCATAAACACCACACAGCTACTCGTCAAAGAGACAAGTGAAGCCGATCCTTTGACCAAGCGTATGCTAAACAA